GTAAATAGTTTTTCCAAAAACATCCAGATGGAGGAAATACTAAAAATAAAATTTTATTGGCAGTGTAGAAATGGGATGGTTAAAAGCTTTAAATTTGCATAATTAGGAAGAAATGCATCTTACCTATTTCAGGCAGCGGCGGGCATAATAAAAATGAAGAAAAACTTTTATTTTTTTCTGAAATTTCCATTTTTTGTGGTGCTGGGTGCGCTAATTGGCCAAAAATATAATATATAATATAATTATATTTTTATTTGAAATCATCATTATTGATGGGCGACAGGTTCGCTAAACACGATATAAAATAAGTCTCACCTAACTACTACTAAGACTCTGTGATAGAGGGGACTATTATTCATATTTATCAGCGACTCAAATGATTAGGGAAATGATTAGGGAGGAGATATTAGTTAAAAATACACTGAATGTGGTGGGGTAAAGTTGTCTTTCTTTTAAAATTCCTCTTGGTTCTAACTTAAATCTACATGCTAACAACTACAATCAGACTATTCCTATAACACACCTACCTGCAAAACCCATTCTACTGTACCCACCCTCAAATACACTACATAAAGTACTGTACAGTACAACAAAATAGGAAATAGTATTAATATCTTTCCTTCCGTTGATTGAATGTGATACTGATATAATTCTGGATTATTATTCATTATTATTATTTTGCTAATATTTATTATACTCAATCAATTTGCAATTGCTGATTTAGATAAATTTAACTATAGGAACTTAGGATATGGAACTTAATTTTTAAAGGTAAAAGGTGACCGTATGAAAATAACCTGTTAACCCGCAGGGTCATTGTGCTGAATTGAGTATTATCTGTGACTACGGCAGCAGATGTAGAGAGGCGTTTAGTAGCTTAAAGTTCACATTATTGAACGCCAGTGACTGAAATGAGCCAGAGACCTAAGATTGTGGACCTACAGTACCATCATCACTCCTTGTGAAGCTTTATGATATAAGTAGAATTTTCAAGGAGCATTTATCAAACTAATTTTGTTATTATTCAGTCACTTGTTGCAATGAGGTATATCATTAAAACATTAATTATGTATGCAATCATCAGAGTTAACATTACCACATTATGTTCAATTCAAAATTTTATGAACAAATAAAAATAATGAAGAAATAACTTCATTCTTGTCAAATATAAATAAATATGTAGACCTATTGGATATTATTATTCATACCTCCGAAACTTATGAACCTATTTTTCTACCAATTTTATCCGGCAATATAAGTAATGTTTAATTACAATATTTATTGAAGGCAAATGACCCCAATGGAAATAAATTCATTTTTAAACTTGGTTCATTCAGATATTGTTTTTATTTATTTTTTTAAATTTTATTTTAAAACTGAAAGAACTGAATAGATCTATACTCAACTAATTTAATTGTTTCTAAGCAAATTACAATTTTTAAGCTTTTGTTTATTCAGGGTAGAACCATTCAGTGACCAGCACTGCTTTCCAAGGAAGCCCTGGTACAAAAATACAGCAAAAATAGACAAAAAATATTTTTACAATACAATTCAAAATTAAATTTAATGATACAATAATTGCCTTTTTATAACCTGAATACCTTGACTAAAAATTCAACGGCGGAAATTTGATCGGGACAAGTATTGAATCCAGACAGCTCTTCAGTAGGTTGAGTGTCTATACATTTAAAAAAGTTTAACTGTTTGACCAAAACAGGATAACAACAGGTGAGTATAATTGAATGACAATCCTTAGTGTAAAAACCCAAAATAAGCATAAGTAAGAAGGTTAATCCGTTACTTATTTATCACATATAGTTCTCAGAATTATTAACAATAATTACTAAGGGACAACTGAAAGAATGCTAATGAAGAAAACCATTAATATCAGGCTGTTATCAACTACCGTTCCTCTACTTCGGTTGGTGTTTTTGCAATATGTATACAGCAATCAGCAAAATATATGCAACAAATGTTTCTTTGATAGAGAAATGTAGCCCCCATTAAAAATATATTATGAGGAAATTGCTTTTATTTTTTATTGCTTGAAAGCAAATTTGTAGACAGTAAAAATATCCTGGTCAACTATATTAACAAATAAGGGTATGAACCTCTTTGTACAAACATGTTTTTATTTAAATTTTCCATACAAAAGAGAAGCGGTTTTAAATATGCCACATAATATGTCATTCATAGCGCATACAAAGGCTAAATAACATATTGAAAGCTAACAAAATCGAAAGAATTCCTCCTCGCCTCCCAAAAATGTTCTGGGTGGGAATGTTATTTTAATAGCTTTTTAATGGGCTAAATGAACAAAATGGTTCATCAGAATAAAAAAATATTCATAACTACTACATGTGGTTCAATCTGCGGGATATAAGTTTAGTTTGTGCTGGTTGCATTTACCTAAAAATGTCCTTGGACACATCACTACGGTATTTATATTTCATCCAATGGAGTATAAACAGCATAAAAACCTCAAAGCTTGATGAACTTTTTATGCAATGTTATTTATTGATTCAAAATCGCTTTTCAGGCAACTAGCCTACTGCAGAAAGCCATAATTTCACTGAATCATTTCAAACTTCAGTAAAATAATGTACTGTACTATACTACATAGTTTCTTCTATGGGGAAGTAATTCAACATTTCTGAAATATATACAGGTAGTGTATACTTCTAAAATCCAATAAGGCTGTGAACATTCCCATGCAGTCAGAAGCAATATTCGAGCGGAGTGTGTTCTCCATTTGTTTATGTAATGCAGTTTGTGTATTAGCCATAGTACAGTATACTGTACCCGCGCGAATAAGTGCCCCTTTTGAATTTTCATGTTCAGTAACGTGAAAATTTCTTTAAGCGCCCCGTTTGAATAAGCGCCCTTCCAATTTATAATATCATAAATCTTTCTTTATAGCAAGTCAATAATCCAATCAATCCTGGGACTGTGGTTGTTGGCAAGATTTGAGCTGCAGAGTGGAATCACTTTCTTCTTAGGTCAATATCAAAATGAGGATATGTCTCTTGGATGCTCCGATCCCTGGACAGACAGTATATTTCCAACTTTTCTCTCTTACATATTTTTCTAGGCCTAGTCCTACTCCTCTTTTTCTGTTTCCGACAATTTGCACGTTTAGCACATTCTCATCTGAGTTTTCAAGAAAACCTGCAATAATCCTGCTAATCTCAAATCAGCTAATGGCCAACAACACAACCACTACCCATAACCACTAATTGCATCTGTTATTCTGCTGTTATGTAAATATTCACAGCATTCTTGTCATGAGCCATGTTCTCTGGACAGTTATCTTTTCCGCCGCACCATCATTCGTAACGTCCTTATATAATCTTTTTCATTCAAAAAGTGGCTCTTGAATTTAATAAGTTCCATAAGAAACCCTCGATTTTTATCTATTTCCATAAGTTCCCCCTCAATTTCCACTCTGTTTTCATAAGCGTCCCATTTGTATAAGCAGCCCCCATAAAGTGCAAAAAATATTTAAAGCAGCCAGGCACTATTTGCGCGATTACAGTAATTTGAGCTGATTACTGTTAAATATTAATAATCATTCATATAAAAATGTCATTTTAAAACTTAATGAACATTTAATATTAAAATAAATCTTGAAGGTCTGCATGTCAAATTGACAATAATAATTAATTAAAGCTTTCAGTATGTGGCATGCGGTACGCTACAAATCTGAACCGATGGTATTTGGTTTAGTACCGTGTGAAATAATTAATATTATAATTACTAATATTCTTAAAGTATTTGTGTCTCGGGTTTTATATCTTAACAAAAAAACACGTTCATGCTAATTTGTCATAATTGTTATTGATCTTATCAGTTTGTGCATGAGCAGATTCTCCCTGAATTATTTTCTCTCCTATCTAAAATAGGCCTTTCGTTTTCTAATTGAGATAACAAACATCAGCTGCTGAAAGGTCCACTGATTAATCTCAGATAAGATAGTATAATACATACTCCAAGTATGGAAATGCTCGCCATCGTGTCGGGATTCAATATTTCGACATTAATTATGTCATCATCAGCTTTTAAATAATAACCAATTAATTTTTAAAATTAATGAGTTACTATAAAGACAATCTTTTAAAATAATTTGGGATCTCAGTGAGTCTAACACACTTAAAAAGAACAAGGATACCCCAGTGGACCCCAACCACACAAGGAAGTGGGCCCCACATCAAATCATATTGGTATTACTCAATACCCTTGAAAAGCAATTTTTTTCAAATAAATTTCCTTCAACAATTATCTTTTTAATAATTATAGACCTTTAGTATAGAAAAGACTACAGTATTAGATACGCATTCATTACCTTGGTTGGTATAAAGCCACTAACCTCTAAGTCAAGTATAATGTTAGCGCAATGCAGTTCCTTGGAAAGATAGTTTACAGTAGTTAAAAAACAGCGTGAACTAAAAATGTGAAAATTTCATTCAAACATATTAGTGACAAACTTAATGACAGCTACACAGTAGCAAGATCAACAAGGTGGTCCACGAGGATTGTGGTTATTATGGTGACAGATACTAAGGTGACAGATACTAAGCGTGACACTTGTTAAATTCAAGTTGGGTGTCTATAAGTGTTCTGACATTTCCATTCGTGAAATTATGTATGTTATGGTAAGATCTAGAGTTACTATACTGTAGTATGAGGTTTGTGACATTTTCCAATAAAATGTGAGTAGAAACATGAGTTGAAACATGAGTTGCAGTGTTAGCATAGAAGTTGTATCAACATGAAACATGACATTTTCAATCAAGAAACACCTACAGTAATGACATGAACTGCAATGTTATTCATGAAGTAGGCACAAAAAGTGATGCTTTGATAAAAAAAAAAAAAAAAAAAATGAGTTTCATGAAAGATGGTTAATGCAATTCAGTACATTAATATGACTGGTTAGTAAATTAGGTATTTTCTAATATATGCAACAATGAATTCTACATCAATGAGAGATGGCCACATACCAATAGTGCAGAGGTTGTGCTTGTATAAGGTGTGCTTTCCGGCTGGGATAAAAACAAAAGGAGAAACAAACACAAGTGAGAAGACATGGACTTTACCATGCATCATAAACAAGCAATTAGCCTATACATGTATGCTAAGGATGACATTTGTCGGTATCTTTATACTCTCCTCTTACTACAGTAGTTGCTGGATACCTAAAATACCATTAATACACGCTTACACCTATAAAATTTGTTCCCTCTACGTGGTACCCAGCGGTTGCTTGTACTTCAGTTATGAATGTGCACAGTATATTACTGCATACATTAAAAATGGAAAGTATACATTTAGTGTACATACAAACTGTATGTATTTTAATGTTTAACATGCAAGTAGCCTCCACTTACAATAGCAACATATTTTAATTTATAAGAAAGACAAGCATACTGGTGAGTTTCCAGGTGGTTTTAAACACAATGAGCAAGACATCTGCATGTTGTGGCCTTTAGCAACACATTTCCTACATGGGCATACATTCATGAAGGAAGCATACAGTACATGTCTACTAGAACACTTTACAATGTACAGTAGATGCACAAAATCATGCATGCTAATTATAACTTTAACACAGTATCAACATATGAAATACCATTAACATGGAAATATACATTGTACTCCATATAGATTAAATATTGTTAGATTATCCGACCTAAAGGAGCCACAATTTATGTTTTTTATTTTTCTAGTGTACTTATGTCGAGAAATTGCATGTAACAGTTGTATGACAGCTAACTTTCTAGCCCATGTGTAAGCTTATTTATAAGGTACATTACAACAAACTCCTACTTCTTGGCCAAGGCCTAACCTCCACAAATAAGCCTAGTTTAATGTTTTCTGAATGCATCATCTATTTCAATAGTATTACAGTTGCAAGCTTAGCATTTAGTAGCTCTTGTGGTGTATGCAGTATCAATGAGATATGAAAGGACTATATCCCATTGTTAGCAGTCTTTTATCTCTTCAATCTTAACCAAAAACATGCCTATGGATCTATGTTGTGATACTGTATACTACATATTAAATATGCTACATTATTGTATAAAGATATAATCAATGCATGGTAGTACAGCAGATACCTGTACATATGCAGAGGTGTACAATACACAACACATGGTACTACAGTACACGAGCTGCTAATGGTGATACAATAAAGCGCATACTATAATTTTATTTATTTATTTGTTCTTTATACTGGATTACTTTACCTCCTCTTCAGTAAAATATTATTGTTCTCATAGAGGACCCAGTACAGAAACATACAGACTTGGAATAAAGTGTTATACTAATATAAAGGTATTCAGTTATTTCTGAATTCTGAAACCACAATTTGGTTTTGAGCTGTATGTTACTGCACTAGCTCACTCTGTATACTCACTACTATAGCTCATCTCAAAATTCATGCCATCAAGTAAGTCTTGATATTTATGATCATCATCCAAAAATGGAAAATAATAGCTATTACACCTAGCTGCAGTAGTAAACAAAAATATTCATGTTCAAGTAATTCGTTGAAGAAGATAATATCAACTCACCATCTGTCCATTCTCTTCTGCAGGTGCATTTTGATTAGTGGGAGGCCGGCTGTTCGATCCAAAGCAGCAAAAAAATGAACTTATCAATCCTCTACTCCTTGGCTTTTTTGATGGTTGTACTGCTACAGTATTAAAGAAAAATGAATGGCAAATTTTAGTGGCTTGACAAAACATGCTCACTTATATAAACTATCGAAAATTGGAAGATTACACCTTATTTCAAATACGGTTAGTTATTGTTTCCAAAGCCCTCTTGCGAAGCAGTAAACACAGTGATACAGTATTGTTCATAGATTACATAACACTGTTGGATAACAGGAAATCCTCTAATAAATAGGTTGTATATTAATAACCTTAAAATAAGCAGTATATTATAGTAGAACCCCTCCTTTGGGGCATCCCTATTAAGGGGACACATTTTTGGTCATGAATCGAGGGAAAATATATCTTTTAATACTACGGCCCAACACCTATTCAGGGGACACCCCTATTACAGTAAAAGAACACTTTATGGCCTGTAGGTGTCCCCTTAATAGGGGTTCTACTTTATAATCAAATTTGAAGTGATTTCCATGATGCTGAGGTAGTTCACATCAGTCATAGTAATTAACTTCTCTTTATTATAAATAAACCCACTATAGTAATTGATAGATAAAGAGTACCTAGCCAGTCTGATTCTAAAGCTCCCTAGTTCCCTTTAAAAAAATGTAATCTAAGGATTACAATTCAAGAAAGGTAGTTTTCATAGGTCAAGTATCTTGCTAGGTCTTACCCAGGGCAAGGTTAATTGTGAATTTTACTGTTTACAATCCTATTCTTCTAAGGTTGTTTTAAAAACAAGAATCATATTCAGATGATCCATACCATAAAAATCCTTCAGAGACACTTATCTATGACATTATTAGGTTGGTGTTAAGAATAAAATCAATAAAATAAGATGCATTTTTGACACAGAAACTAAAACTTTGTATCAAAATAATAAGAATCTATAAATCTACATCATACTTTGGTGAACCTATATGTAGTTTCTTTCTATTTTGAATTATTATTCAGTAATTTATTGACAACCTACACAGAGAGTTTCATACTTTAATATGTACAGTAAACTGAGGTTTCAGATGCTGATACTGTACCACATAATACAAATAAAATAATAATTAACACAACAATGTTAATATTCAAGTTCCTTAGAATTCTGAAATATACCTTATGTAATTGGAATTCACCAAATCAAATACAGTAGAGAAGCTAATAGGTCTAAATCAACAGCAAATATGCTACTGTAGAATTCTGCGAAATACTAGCCAGGTAATACCGTGCACATTACTCAGGCATGTCATATATTTTATCTGATATTTTCTTTATTTGAACTTTATCAGCAATGAAAAACTTTGTCCATATTGACCACTAATTAGAAATGAGATAACTAATCAATTCTAATTAATGGAAACAATTTTCATTTCCGATGATGGTCCAATAATGAACAAAATAATGAATTAATATGCCAATCCTAAGGTCTTTTTTTTTTTTTTTTTTTGTGCTGTGCATGATATCAATGGATCTTTTGGCTACTGGTACAGTAATGTATTGTAATATTAAAAGTCTACTTTAGTTCTCTGGATGATCAATGAATGTTTAAAAATAATTGTACCTGAGGATTCCATTCTGAAAAATATGATTGAGAATGTGAAACATTATTCTCCATAAAACTCGGGAAAAAACATACTGTAGTGATCGAGTATTGGTAAACCCCACAAAACACACTATAGAGTCTAACCAAACCACATGATTTATGATTGTATCATGTACTATAGGACTCACTTGGTATTTTATGTTCATAATGAACTTATTTTTTGGGGTAAAATTTTGTGTTTTTGTGAAAAATACCTTAAAATACACAGCAAACCCTGTCCAAACCTCTTCATTATTTATGATTGTATTATGTAGTATAGTATGGTAAAACCTGGATTTTACGTATAGTACGAGACCAGACCGGAGGGCGTACATGTTTTTATTCATGATTTTACAATGTCACGTAATGAAGTCTTCAAATAAACTCTGTCTAGTGTATTAACTCATTACTATATGTTTTATTTAACTAAAAACATAAAAATATTTTAAGATTAGGCCTACCTATACGATAAAGTTATAACTTTAGAATTCCCATTCATGGCTATTCTATTTAACTGAGCTGTGTGTGCTGAGATAAACTAAAGCTACATTCACTGGGCGAGATACAGATACACAGATACAGATTAATTCTATTGTCCAATTATTTTTGGAAATTACATTGCTAACTTGCTATGTAATTATCTTCTTGAATATCTTAAATTGAACTCCCTTATCCAAAACACTTACTGTAGCGTTCATGTGCAAAATTATGGCTACCCATCTTCGTAAACTTGGCATAGAAAATTTGATCAGATTTTTCCCATGAAGCTAAGTACTGTAGGAAAGAAATTACTTTGTGCACTGATGGTACTATACTGTGGTTGTTCATTTCGCTCAGTCCATGTGGTTTTAGATTATAACAGCATGTTTATTAGACACAAATCAACCTTGCTGTTGAATGAAAATTCTTTGTATATGGTTTGTTTATTGTTACAGATTAAAATAAAATACACAGAATGTCTTATAGTGGATCTGAAAAGGGCCGTATGTTTTGATTATTTTGGGTGTTTTTGATGACGTCAATAAGGAGGTTTCGCACGCGAACGGTACGGTTAGTGTGACGGATATGTCATCATTTTGACATCACACGCCGGCTGCTATCCGCTAAACATGTGGACAACACGCATATCTCGCTCACTACACGTAAGTGAAAAACGCGTAGGGAAATTGTGGATTTCTAGTAGGATCTTTGTTTATTTTTTCACATTTTACGTAAGTGTAAAAAATAAATGTATCTTTAAATACTTACGTGCCATTTTTGTGACATTTGAAGGCAGCAAATTACAATAGGCTAAGGATGCATCTCATTTTGGGGTATCAAAACGTTGGTGCTTTGACCTTGGTGGTGGTGTCGGGATTTTGTGTAGGCCTAGCCTAGGCCTACTTGTAGCCAGGCACCTTTGGGTCATAAACAATAGGGCCTATCACAAAATAACCAACACTTTTGGGCAACAAAGGAAGTATTTTTCGGCTACGATTTCCATTTCCAAAACCTTACATACACTAATAAAACTCTGAGAAACATGATGAGAGAAGAGAACAGAGTACAGTACTAAGCCATAGGCTACGCTTGAATTGCGCTGTGATTGCGAAAATGGCTACGAACCTTTACGGATAGCTAAACGTATGTGTACATTTATTTGTTCGCGTGCGAAACCTCTCTATTGTCCGTAGGAGGCGTACATAAACTGAGGGTTTGCACACCTGAGGTACATTAAAATGAGGTTCTACTGTACATGTTAACATTAAAACATTTACCGTTTTTGAGGGAGGTGTTTGTTTCAAATAAATACAGCAATCCATCCAATAACTAGACTTAAAGAACATTCTTCACGATCTGATAGTGTTATATTTGATCATGTTCAAAACTGTGAGGCATTCCAATTTGTTTTAGGATTACAGGGTATACTTGAAAATGACAATGTCGTCTGTAATGCAAGTAATAAATTAGGTTTAATATTTTCTAGTACTAACATTATTGACAGCTCCCGAAACTGGTCTATCCTATTGTTTAAAGAAGCGTTCGCTATAC